CCCTCTTACCATGAATGCTCAGAAAAGAACACCTTCAAAAGCTTCTCACACCTCATTAAGCTGTGCTTAAAATGAAGCCCTTTTCCTAAGGGCATATCCAAAGGAAATTATTCATGTCAATTATTCATCTCAATTATTCATCTCAATTCAGATGGGATAAATAGCTTGGGAAATTTGACAAAAGCAAAACTTTAAAGCATAGCAAATCAATATTGCTTGGTTGGAAGGTTGGTTCTGAGAATGGCATCTGATCATGTGTCACAGTCAGTTCAGGTTGCTACAACAAAGTACTATAGACTGGCTTCAGCAACAAACTATTTTTTCTTACAGTTTGGAAGGCTGGAAGTCTGAAATGAAGATGCCAGCATGGTTGGATTTGGTGAGGACCCTCTTCCCGGTGTACGGACAGCTGTCTTGTTACATCCTCACGTGGCAGAGAGGGAGCTCTCTGATCTCTTTATCTCCTTATAGACTCTAATCTCACTCACGAGAGCTCCACCCCCATGACCTAATCACTTCCTAAAGGCCCTCATTTCCAAATACTGTTAACACTGGGAATTTAGAGGTCAACATAAGAATTTCAGAGGGATACAAACATTCAGTCCACAGCACGTTGATTAAAAAATTGCTTAAAGGGCAGCACAAAGAAGACGTACAGTCACTTATTCAAACTCTAAATCCCCCAGCAGCTGTGATTGTGAAAACGTGCTGCTCAGATCTGCTCTGGGGAGCATGGTTGACTGCCAGGTCCTGCCCCTGACCTTCTGGCTCCCCAACTCCATTTGTAACAAGCGCAAGCTCCCCCTATACTCCTCTTAGCCAATGATCACGCACGGTGTGAACACTAGTGGATGCCCATCTCTGTGAAATATGGAACTCCTCTAGCAGGCAATTTTGGCCCAAGGACTCCTCATTTTCAAAACCTTCTTAGAACTGTGCTACAACCTGAGGTGCTTCTTATCCAATCTTTCTTCTTTCCCTTTCTCCTTTAACCAGTGTCATGATCTGAGGGCCCTTCATGTCTATTCCTGCTCCTGCTCCATTATCCTTCCCACGATTTTCCACCCAGTAAATAAGTCTTGCACATCTGATTCCACCTTGGCATCTGCTTTTTAGAGGGCCCGTGATACAGGTGGACTGGAAGTGGCGTGATTTGAGAAGATGGCAAGATTGGCTTTGAGAGTGGCTCACTAATTGCCCAACTGGCTACAAGAATTCCATCTTGCGTGGACTGTGGGGTCGTGGATAGTGTCTGGCACAAGATAGTGGCCCACATGTGGATTTCAGTGATGGCGACTTGGGAAACTGACCCAGTGGAGGGCAATGCCATTTACGTGGGATAGTTAAGGCACTTGAAAGATGGAGGGAGCAATGTCTGAAAGAACAGTGCAGTGGGCTTGTTATTGCTACGTTGTGTTGATGGCCTGCATGAGATAATGAGAAAGAGAGGGTCATCAGTAAACAGTTAAGGCTGAGTGGGAGTCAGAGGTCTCCTTGGTAGGTAACAGACAGGCTCTTATCTCCTGCAGTGGAGGAGTGTGGACAGCAGAGAAACAAAAGAGATTTTCATGATAAGAGTTGCAGAGCCCCAGAGATGTTTAAATGCTTAGCCAAGGCAGGTCTGGGCCCTGGTTGGGAAAATCTGGAACCTTGAAGCACAAAATGGAACATCCTGATAGAATCCCTGAGGATACTGACTCTGCAGACCCTGACAGCTTGCAGAGGTGGCTGACCCTTCCCTAGTCAAAGCTAACACTTCCCTCATGTGGGAAGGCAGTATTGAAGCCTCTAGCATAAGGAATAAACAGGTGCCCACTCAGGAGCTGCCCCATCTCCTCTTATCTGACAGGGTGATAACTCAGGTTAAATTCCAGCATCACCCAGCTGGGGATGTGTTGGGCCTGGTAAGGTGGGAGGAGGAAGATCGCATAATGTAGGAGCCAAAAGAACTACTTAGCGTGTACCAGTAGGAGCCAGGAGAGGACCCCTGGAATTGGATTTCTGAAGATGCTTGATCAAAGTGGGCAGGAACTGTGGTGGGATTGATAAGGAATCAGAGAGACTGAGGGGTTGAGGAGGATTTATTATTTAGGTGCACTGACCCAGTTGGATTAACATCCAAAGGACTGAGCCCTGAACAGAGTCAAGTTACCTTTGAAGCATTTCATGGGGCTGGGGGAGATCTGTGTGGGGAGAAGCATGTTACAGAAGCGAGAAACAAAGACAGTTATTTAATTAATTGAGACATTCATTACATCATTTCTAACTTTTCAAGGGAAAACATGTTTTATGGCTTGAGTTTATCTGTCTAGTGACCTTGCAGCTGCACAGTTAGAGAAACAGGGTCTTCACAATGCCTGGGAAAGGGAGAGATAAGACTCACTAGCCACGGAAAAACAGGCAGTTAATTTTTAAAGGACTCCAGCTCTTTCTCTTTCTCAGGGTGAACTGGGTTTTCTTACATAGAACTGAGTTTCTGCTTACACATTCTTTAATTTCTTTTAATTCATGTTTCACAGCAAGCCTGGCTAAATACAAATTCATTGTCTTGGGGGCACTTTCTCGGGACTTGGGACTCTAGAAGATGGGGTAAACTCACTGCTAGGTGACTATTAGAAGCTGAGAGAAAGCAATGGTCCATGCAGAGTAAAGCAGGAATGCCCGAATTGCCCTTGGAAATGGTAGAGGAAGGACAGAGGAGCTGAGGGAAGTGGACTTGCCTGAATGAATTTTTTTGTGTAGAGCCTGAAGGCAGACAGAGGGGAATGCTTCATGGGAGGCCCAGAGGACGCATCATCTATATGGCCATGGGGAATGCACTGGCGTGAGGGACACTAGAATCACTAAGAAGTTCAGAGAGGCTCTCCTCTGAAGGGAAGGGATGACGGTAGGAGAGGCGATCACAAGGCTGGGCTTGATAATATCCACTGGGATGACAGGATCTTGAAGTAGTAGAAGCCAGGTGGTGGCTTTAACCATGAGGACCCCAGAGGATGAGATGACTGCAACACCTGGCAAGGGCAGAGGCACAGCCAAGAGGGCTTGATCCACAGGAGGTAGTGGAGGGCTTTCATAGCATAAGGTCTCCCTAGGGGAAAAATAGATGGGCAGCCAACAATAGTGTTGCTTAACATCTACAACTGGAGGAAGACAAGAAGCTATTTACCCTATGCAGGGAGCAGTTGTTTAATAAAAAGCACTGCTCATTGCTCAAGTCTCAGACCTGAGCCCATCTTCACACTGAGACCACAGAATCTGTTGACTTAAGAGGTTGTTGGGTCCCTAGAAAGAAGAATCCTGCAATACTGAAACAAATATTTACTGTAATTAATGATTACTCTTTGGTCTGTGTTCCATGGCCATTTTCTTGACTGAATATATGTTGAGGAAAGAGGAATACCCAGACATTTCACAGGTGTTACCCAGACACCCAATGTGTGTAACACACATGGCTCCTCTCTAAGTGTGGGGGCTTATGGGGATCAGGTAATAAGCAGAGTCCTGGATAATGTCCAGCTTACAGTGGGTCCAGAAATACATGGACCCATCCAGCAGTCATTTCCTTAGTTCCTGAGTGCATAATTAGGAGTACATATTGGGCAGCTGGAGCAATCTCCACATTGATAAGAAGCTCAAGGTCCTTGGTCTTGAGTTATCACGGTGCGGAAAGCCAATGGGAAGCCTCTGAAGCTGTCCTTCTTTCCAAGTCAAGATAACAAATCAAAACCGGTATTTCATTGGAGGGGATAGTGAGATGATGGTGGAGATTAATGCCATAATTAAAGACCTGAAGTATACAAGGGTGGTTGGTCATCCCTGTCATATCTCTATTTAACTTGCCAGTCTGGCCCCTTTGGAAATCAGGTGGATCCAGGAGAATGACATAATGGCTCTGCATAGTCCAAAAGGAGCTGGATCACCTGGAAATTCCAGAGCATATCACATCCATCTATTTCACCAATGACATTATGCTAATCAGGCAGGATGAGCAAGAGGTGGCTAGCATGTTGGAAACTTTGGTAAGACCCATGCACTCCAGAGGTTGGGAGATAAACCGTAGGAAGACTGAAGAACCTCCTACTTCGGTTTTTAGGGATCCAGTAGTCAGGGGTTTTCCAGGATATCCCTTTCAAAGTAAAAGGCAAATCATAAAGTACACATAAGATAAAAGAAACAGTAACTTACAAAATTTCCAAAAGAGACACCTAGAATTGTTCATAGTGTTTATGTCCTTTGAGATGTTTTCATTGTGCACAGAGTATAAACATAATAAACTAATATGGGATCTCACTACTCATCCATCACAATCCAGTATTTTGCTTGTTTATTTGTACACTTTTTTTTAAATAGCCTGTCTTTCCTCACTGTGATATAAACTTCACGAAGGACAGGTCTGTCTTGCTCACTGCTACATCCCTGGCACTTAAAATGTAGTTGACGCTCAATAAATATGTCTTGGTGAAATGAATGAAACATACTATACACATAATTTTGGAGCCAGCTACTTTAACTTCCAGACATTTAAGATTATATTTCATCATTCGTAAAATGCGTCCCTCCAAAAATCATATGAAAGCACTGTTCCCACACTCCAAAGACTATTTCTATGAATGCAGATTCAGAACCAGGAAGCCTCCGTCTTTTGGCAGCCTTCGAGTCTCTTCCCTTCTGGCCGGTACTGCCGTAGAGACCACAACGGACACATTCTTAGGTGGATCATTCTTTAGAGGACCCAACTCACCAAGGACAGGAGAAAGTTGTTCCCAGGCAAGCAGCCCAGCCCAGGGCCATGTCCCTCCTTAAGCCACACGGGGGCGTCAGAGCGCCACAGTCCGCGCGGGGCCCGGGGCCGCTGGGAGAAAGACTCCGGGCGGCTGTATTGACTGCCCGGTGTGGGCGGAGCGAAGGGCGCCCAGGCCGGGGTGGCGGCCAGGAAGTGCGGGTGCGCGCCTGCGCATAGGTCGGGTCGGAGGTGTCACAGCTTTTGCTTCTGCTTGAGTCAGTCCTCACGGTGACGCCTTTCCCCTGCTTTTCCGAGTAGGCTCGTGCCCAGGGCAGGAGGCAGAGTGCGGGAGTGGGGAGGGGGCGGAGTGCAGAGCGCCTGCGGGGGCGCCAGGGCAAGGAGTGGGGATCTGTGGGGAAGGGGATACGGGAGGAGGCGTGGGTGGGCCGGTGGGCGACAAGGCTGCGTGGAGGGGAGGGGCGCGGGGCGCGGGGCGCGGGGGCTGGAGACGGAGGGCATCTGCCCTGGGAGAGCCTGGTTTTCCCTTCGCCTGGCCCGGGGCACGCCGGCGACCGCGTGTGTCTGCCCCGCGGCAGTACTTTCGGGGGCCGCCTGCCCTCCCCCTCAGCCTGCTCTCATTGGCGGCCCCGCTTTCAGAGCGGCGTTTCTCACCCGCGTGGCTTCGGGCGCCTCACCCGGCACCTCCCGCCGCGTCGGGCATCCGTCTCTTTCACCCCTGCACTCTCCAGGGGAAACTGAACACGTTTTCCAGCCTGACTCGGCAGGGCAAACCAGAACATTCCCCGTCTAAGCAGTTCCGGGGAGTTTTAACAACTTCCTGGTAAACTCCTCTACAGAACTCACTGTATGCTGTGTAAATGTCGCCTGTGTGTGGAGCAACAGTTTTATTGTGCCGTTCAATGATCAACAAGAAATTGTAGTCCAGGGAGATGAAAATCTCTTATTTGGCATTCAGGCGTTGATCAAGGCCGTGCAACCCTCGCTAAAAGGATTTAGGTTCATCTCCGTCATTCTCAGCCGGGGTAAAGGGGTGTAGTCTAACATTTGGAAGCTTAAGAACCAAGTCTGCTGCCGTCCAATTCTTTTTTAAAGCCTTCCATCATGTGTGTACTTTGCTTGAATGATTATTTTAAAGTACATGTCCTATTTTTGCCAATCTGACAGCTGTTTCCATAGAAACTAGAGAAGAAATAGTCATTTTCAGCAGGAGTTGTTAAAACTGTCTTCCAGGCTTCAGCAATGAGTGCCAGTGAGTGCTGCACTTGCTCATTCTGAGATGGTACTTAAAGAATTAAGGATCTGAAATGTTCTTAGAGGCTAACAATCCAAATTGTTTAATTTTCTCACATCATTAATTTTGTAATCCTAGAAGTCTGCCAGCTATGTTTGTTGACCCGCCACAGCTCTTTGAAGAGAATATGTCAGCCCTGATTTTTTTTTTTTTCTTATGTGCTCCATAGTCTAGTTGATTGGCTCGTTGAAAATGCATGAATAGATTTCTTCCCTCATTCTTTACCCTTTCTTCAGGATAACCCGGGGATTACAAAATATCAGGCACTGTTTCTATTCAAAATGACACTTGCTTGTCAGTGATAGAAACGATAATGGTTTTAATTATATACGTGTAGTGTTGGGGCTTTTGCTTATACCTTCTGTGTCAGTAGGATTCTTTTTAAAAATTTTTACAGAAGTCATGAGAAATGAGAAGGAGTTTGCTTGTCATGAGCAGAGCTAAGCAGTGTGAGTAGATGTGCATAGACAGAGAGATGAGAGCTTTCTTTTTCTGGGGGCTGTAAGTAAATCAGGGAGGTTGGAATTTAGGAATGGGTGAAGGAGGGTTGGGGAAGGTGCCTGGAGAAGTAGTAGGAGGGCCTGATTCACCATATGAAGGAGTTTATGAAAGCCATGGAAAACCAATGAAAGTCCAGGCTTGGTGGCTCATGACTGTAATCCCAGCACTTCACAATGCAGTATGATCAGTTGAGCCCAGGAGTTAAAAATCAGCCTGGGCGACATAGTGACACACTGTGTCTTCCGAAAAAATTTTGAAAATTAACTAGGTTGGCCGGGTGCGGTGGCTCAGGCCTGTAATCCCAACACCTTGGGAGACTGAGGTGAGCAGATCACTTGAGGCCAGGAGTTCGAGACCAGCCTGGGCAACTTGGGAAAACCCCGTCTCTACTAAAAATACAAAAATTAGCCAGGTGTGGTGGCGCATGCTTGTAATCCTAGCTCCTGAGGAGACTGAGGCGCGAGAATTGCTTGAACCCAAGAGGCGAGGTTGCAGTGAGCCAAGGTGGCACCACTGTGCTCCAGCCTGGGCGACGACAAAGTGAGACCCTGTCGCGAAAAGGAAAGAAAAGAAAAACAATGGAAATTACAGAAATAGTTGCCTGAGTGGAGCCTTAAAAAAGTAATAATACATTCTGTAGAAATTTGAACTGCACAGAAATATATAAGGTGAAAATACTAATAATTCCTCTTAACCACCATCCTGCCAGTCAAAATAATTGTAAATAGTTTGGTGTATCTTTTTTCAGATTTATTTTTGTATATACTAGCATATATTCTCATTACTATTTTTGCAAACTGAGGAGGGATTTTTAAATCTATTTGGTCTCTGCAGTATCTCTAGCATTCATAATGGTGCCTAGCATTTAGTGGGCACTCATTAAACATTTTCAGAATGAATAATAATACAGTTCAGAGGTCAAAAATACAAAATCTGAATGTTTGGTTAAGGTCATTAAAAATTTTTAAGTTCATTGCCAACATTTAAAAATTAATAAATTTCACATAAAATCTGAAATTCTGGCTTTACTTGAAAGTTTTGAATCATTTGGCCACAGCAAGTTCAAATTCCATCATACTGTTTGCACTTCCTTTAGATGGGCATGAATCTGCATTCACATCAATATTGCTTTACTGATATTCACTTGCCTCGACCCTACAAACCTGTGCTGTGCGATACAGTAGACACTAGCCACATATGGCCATTTAACTCAGTTAAAAATTTCATTCCTCAGGTGCACCAGTCACATTTCAAATGCTCAGTAGCCACATGTAGGGGCTACCTTATTGGACAGTGCGGACATGAACATTTTTATCACTGCAGAAAGGTCTGTTGTATGGTGCTTCTTTAGACGTTTGAGTTTGCCACCTCTGCTATACAGAAGTTTTTAGAGCATTTATTATTATTTTTAAACTTATGTATCCCTTTGCCAGAGATTGCTATCTTTTAAATCTTTTAAAGATTTACAGATTACCATGTTATCTTTTAAATGATTACATGGTATTTACCAGGGTAGGACTTTATGTAAATTGTGGGGGTAGGATTCTGTTGCTGGGGTTTGCATTTTAGAAATAGTGCTTTAGCTGCAGTTTGGGGTCAAACTGGAGTGGGAGGGGTTGGTGGTGAAATAAGGCAGGGAGATTAGGTGTGTAGTGATCAACACCATAAGACCACAGAGCCCAGGAAAGGCTAGAATGAGATAAGAAGGAGGTGGAATTGACATGACTGATTTAATGTGGGCTGAGATATTTTGGATGCTAAAGTTGCTGTAGAGATAATCCAGTATTTCTGGAACTGATTAAATGTTGAAAATTGGTAAATTTGGCTTTGCAAAGTGTAGGAGGAACCCTCAGCTAGTTCCAGTAAACAACATGTATAATATTAAAATGCTGTCAATTTACAAAAACAAATGTGCAACTGTTTTATACCATGTAAACGTCTTAGAGATCATTTATTTGTAGAATACAGAAACTCATTGAAGAAAGGGAATTATTTTGGGGATAAAGTAAAAACTCATGAAGCTCAATTAAGTGTAGGAAGTACAATGGTTTAATGGGAAACAGGGAGGTCTTATTCTCTTGTGTTCACTCTGGCTTCATGGTCTCTCACTTATCTTCTGTCTGCACTTGTATTCCATTGTCTCTTCTGTGGATCCAATTTTTTTTTTTTTAAAGCTTTTTGTTTGTAGTTCTTGCTTACGTATTGCTTTGTTTGGCCATAGCACCTGCTGTAGACCCAACTTACACATGCCCTTATATTCCTGTGCGGGATACTGTTTTATGTAAAATCTTTTTAGTGTCAAATGCCTACTCCTAGTTCTGTAGCTAATGGTAGGGGTTGCTAGGGATGAATGTGGCCAACTAGGCCCATCCCCTAAACTGAGGCCATGAGAGCACGTTTGGAAAAGAAGTTGTGCTTGGGCAAGTGTCTGAAGCTTATCTACTACAATAAATCATCAGATTTGAGGTCAAGGAAAGAAAGTGGGCTTGTGTTGTTTTTGCAGTTTGACTTCTAGAAGACTTTACATTTAAACCTTAATACACTTTCCCATTGAAAACAGTTCTTTCCATTGTTTTTTCTCTTTCTGATCTGTCTAAATGGCATGAAAAATAATTGCTGCCTTCCTGAGCTCTTCAGCTACTCATGGATGTCTTTTTAAAAATGCATCCAGTATGTATTTTTAATAACTGAATTTTATTATCCCCTAATAGTCTTACTTAGGTTCAATTTTGTCTCCTCAACTAGATTATAACCTCCATGAGAGCAGGACTGTATTCTGTGCTGCATAACTCACATGCCCCCTAGCCACTGAAAACCTTACTAGCTGCTCCAATATGAATTTTGAAATGATTTCTAGGCTTAAATTCTTTTACCACTTTTCAGCTTGGTTCAAAAAAGTAAAAACAAAGTATCTTGTTAATAATGTCAAACTATTATATATCAGCCTAGACTTTACTAATTTAAAATTGGTAGTATTTCAAAAAGGGTTAACTCAAAGTTAATGTTTTACTTAGCATGCCCTTTATTAACATTATACATTAACAGTGCAAGGGCAGGGTGTATGAATTACATAAAAAATAAATTTGAGTAATTTTCAAATAGTTTGATATATAGATAGTACTATTTATTAAAACTGGTAGTCCTGAAGCATCTTTCTAGATAATATTGTATTAGCTTAGGTTGAGTTTTACCTGTTTTTTTCCCCCAACTTTCATATGAAGGTGTTGAAACATGCAGAAAAATTGAGGAAAAATTTAAGGAACATGTATGTAACTATCACTGAGATACAATGATTGCTGATATTTTATTTATTGACTTTATGTCCTTTGTGTGTGTACATTTGCTGTACAATTTGAAAGTGAGTTTTATTTATCATGAACAGATCCTTCAGCAAGTATCTCAAGAATAAAATAGTCACATAACCACAATATTATCACCTAAGAAAATAATAATTACCTAAAACAACTTGAAATTCAATTCGTATTTAGATTCCCTCAATCTGGGTTTTTTGTTTGTTTTTGGTTGTTGATTTTTTTTTTTTTTTTTTTTTAAGACAGGTTCTCATTCTGTTGCCCAGGCTGGAGTGTAGTGGCACAATTTTGGCTCACTGCAGTCTCCACCTCCCAGGTTCAAGTGATTCTCCTTCCTCAGCCTCTGAATTATAGCTGGGTTTACAGGCAAGCGCCACTCTTTGTAATCCCTTCCCCTGGCCCTTTTTCCTACCACTCCTCAAGCGGTCACTGATCTCTCTGTCACTATGGATTAGTTTGCATTTTTTGCAGTTTATGTTATAGAGATGGAATCAGAGTATGTACTTTTTTGTGTGTTTTTCTTTTTTTTTTTTTTGAGACAGAATCTCACTCTGTTGCCCAGGCTGGAGTGCAGTGGCGACACCTCGGCTCACTGCAACCTCTGCCTCCCAGGTTCAAGCAATTCTCCTGCTTCAGCCTCCCAAGTAGCTGGGATTACAGGCAAGTGCCACCACACCTGGCTAATTTTTGTATTTTTATTACATAGGGGTTTCACATTGTTGGCCACGCAGGTCTTGAACTCCTGACCTCAAGTGATCTGCCTGCCTTGGCCTCCCTAAGTGCCGGGATTACACGTCATGAGCTACCATGCCCAGCCTTTTTTGTGTTTTTTAACGAATTTATACAGTTCATCTAAGATGTCCAGTTTAAGATTTTATCTTTCATTGATTTTGAGAAGTTATGTGCCTTGCAGTTTTTTTCCTTTGCGTTTCTTTTGTGTAGGGTTTGTTAAACTTTTTGAATTTGTGGTTTTATAGTTTTCATCAAGTTTGGAAAACTTTTGGCCATTATTTCAAGTATTCTTTTTTCTGTCTGCACCACCCCCGCCACTTTCTGGGGACTTCAGTTAGATGAATATTAGGTCTGTTGAAGTTATTACATACCTCGTTGATGCCCTGTGCCTTTTTTTATTATTGTATTTTCTCTCTGCGTTTCATTTCAGATGGTTTCTATTGATACATCTTCAAAGTCACAAATCCTTATTTCTATAATGTTAATCTGCTATTGTCTCATCTAGTATGTTTTTCATCTTGTATCTTATAGTTTTCGTGTCTAAAAGTTTAGTGTAAGTCTTCTAAAGAAATATGTATCTCTATGTAACATGCTCATATTTTCCTTTAGTTTCTTAAACTTGTGGATTATAGTTACGATAACTAATATCCTTGTTTACTAATACTGTTATTTGTTTATTTAGGAGTTAGTTTCCACTGATTGATATTTCTTCTAATTACGGATCACATATCTTGCTGCTTGCATGCTTGGTGATTTTTAATTGTAAATTGCATCTTGTTAAGTGCTAAATAGTTTTGTGTCCTAATACCTGTTCTTGAGATTTTTTGTTTTGTTTTGTTTTTTGTTTTTGCTGGGATGCAGTTGTTGCTTGGAAGCATTTAATCTTTTTGGGTGTTGCTTTTAATATTTGTTAGGTGGGGCCACAGCAGCTTTCGGCCTAGGACTAATCTTTCTCTAATGTTCAGGCAAAACCCTTCTGAGTGCTTGACGAATGATAAGGTTTTCCACTTTGCTTGGGGGGTAGGGACAGGCACTATGCCATGCCATGTGTGAGCCCTGTATGTTGTTCTCTCCAGTCTTTTCAGGTGGTCCTTTCCCAGCTCCAGGGGATTTTCTTACACATATGCCCAGGCAGGATTCAGCTGAATATGGGACGGGGATTCTCTGCAGAACTCTAGAGTTCTCTGTGCAGCTCTTTTCTTCTCTTGTCCTCTGTCCTGTGAGCTGTAGCAACCTTGGTTTGCTTGACCTCGCAGCCTTATCTCTTTGATTTAGGGGAACCACTGGGCTCCACCTAGGTTTACCCTGTCTGCATTGTGGCCTGGAAGCACTCTCCAGGCAGTAAGCTAGGACAGTTGCAGGGCTCTGCTTCCCATTTCTCAGGGATCACTGTTCTTCAGTGCCTAATGTCCAGTGCATTTTATATAAGTTAGATTTTACCCTTCCGTATTACATGCTTCCTTCCAGTTATTGCAAACTGATAAAAGTTTTACTACTGTTTTTATCTAATCCACTTTATTGCCCAAATAATTTGCCATTAAAATAAAAATGGCTCTCCCCTAACTACAAATTAAAAATGAAATGAAAAAAATTCAAGCTTCTAAAGTACACATTGCATAGTAAATGTCATGTTATGTATACTCTGATTTATCTTGCTGAAAGGCGTTGCTGTAGGGGTGATGAGTTGAAACCCAAGGTAATTTAGCCTGAGATGTGTTAGAAGAACAGCTGACACACCTATTTAATAAGTGTTATATTCCCAGTTTGGTAAGTAAATATTTTCCACAGATATTTATAGTTTATTTTTTGTGTTTCAGGTAATCAAGTGAAAAAGATGAGCTTCATCTGTGGATTGCAGTCTGCTGCTAGAAACCATGTTTTCTTCCGATTTAATTCACTGTCTAACTGGAGAAAATGTAACACATTAGCATCAACCTCGCAGGGCTGTCATCAAGTACAAGTTAACCATATAGTAAATAAGTATCAGGGACTGGGAGTAAATCAGTGTGATAGGTGGACTTTTCTGCCTGGAAACTTCCATTTTTATAGGACTTTTAACAACAAAAGAACAGGATGCCTCTCAAGTACCAAAAATAAGGAAATTTGGATGATTACCAGCAAATGTACTGTATGGAATGACTCTTTTTCAAGACAGCTACTAATAAAAGAAGTTACAGCAGTTCCTAGTCTGTCAGTATTGCATCCTCTAAGCCCTTCTCCTGTAAGAGCTATTAGGAATTTCCATACTTCTCCACGGTTTCAAGCTGCTCCGGTTCCTCTCTTGTTGATGATTCTTAAACCAGTGCAGAAGTTATTTGCAATCATTGTAGGCAGGTAAAATGCTTTTTTAGAAAATTAAACTTTTGTATTAACCTTTTGCGTTAGTATTTTGTGTTAACTTTTAGAAATTAAATTTTTTTATTTATAAAACTGTACTTTTAAAGAAACCTTGTTAGATCCCGTCTCCCCTCATTTAGCTCAAAGTGAAGTTTCTAAACAGTAGGTCCTGCCCAATTTTGTTATGTATGATTTAATAATCCTGAAACAATTTCCTGCATATTAATTTATGGTATAGAAATATGGTCTCTTTAAAAAGTTATTCTTACATTTTGTATAGGCATTTTTTAAAAAGTCTTATATTTATGATTACAAGATCTTAGGATATATGGATCAGAAGTGTTGGTTATCACTCACATATAAGAAGAGTACTTACAAACATTTCTTTTTAATTTGTGGAATTTAAAGGCAGCAAATCATAAAACTGAGGAACTTTACTTATATAAGGGTGGGCCCACTCCTAGTTAACTCTTAAATCATTAATGCTCCTTTTTTTTTCTATTCTGTTCCCAACAGATCTTTGTTTTTTTTCTTGGCTTTATAATAAACTTTCACAGCTTGATAGTACTTTAACCCTTTTTCTCTTGTTTTATGAAGATTGAAAGCTAATCGCTGTTTCTTCATAAAGCTTTCTTGTATTTGATGACTGTGAAGTCCCTTCTAGCCTTCTTTCTTCCACATGAACCAACCCAGTTTGCTTTTGATAAAAAACCAAGAACTTCCATTTGTAATTTATTGTGTTCTTCATGATTTGGTGTTGGCACCCAGAGGAGATACAGCTGTACTGACTCTTGGTTGAAGTAATATGCTCATCCCAGGTTCTTGGGATGCTCTTTCTGATTTCTGATGTGTTCTCATCCTTTTAAATTATTTGTTTTTAACTTTCTTGTTTTTGTTACTATTGTTGATCACCTAAAATTTTTCATTTAGAATATGTCTTTCATACATTTTAAATAAATGATAATGTCTTGTAAAGTTTTAAATAGGAAATAGGTGTACTCGATAGTTTGGTTTATGTCCGTTTAAATTGAGACACTTTGTGTAAAGGCATTGGGGAGTGTCACTTCACAAAGAGAACTTTAAGAAGTTATTTTGTAAAATAAATTTTTGTCAAGAGAATCGTGTATATGGTAAATTTTTGTTGCGGTTTTACAGATCAGCTCACAAGGAAAATGTTTGTCCCAGTATTGAAAACATTGCTGTTGTCAGAAAAGTTTCTGAACACTGCTAAGCAGCAGACAGTATTGTTGCCTGGTAGAAATTGGATCTTCTCAGATGTTATCTACAAAATCTCTCACTTTCTTATGAGTACCTATGATATTATTATCTCTCCTTTTTCATTTTCTAAAGAGGATAGTGGAGTTTCTGCTACTGAGCACTATTTATTTCCAAAATGAATGCTGAGGCAGTTTTCCCTGTACCATGTTGAATCACTGGCAAATTGTGTTGGAGGTCTGAGGAGCAGTGGGAAGAATAGTAGTTCCAGGTATAGACTTATTGTACTGTAACCTCTTACGTAATTAATTAGACAGTTATCCCTATTAAGTGGCTAAGTGGTCAGACTCTGGAATGTCATTGACTTCATTGCTTGGTTTTATTCTTATTACCTGGGTGGCCATGGACAAGTTACCTAACAATTTTCTCTTCTGTGACAGGATTATTATGAAGACTAAATGAGATGGCATATATATATATATAGAGAGAGAGAGAGAGAATTTTGCATATACTACATAGTAATAAATGTTAACCAGTGGTAGTTATAGTAAACTAGCATCTCATTTAGTGTTTATCCTTAAAATAGCTGAAGAAGAAAATTTCGATGAGTATTAGAATTTTTTAGCTGTAACATTACATCGTTGATGATTTCTTCATCATTTAGCTAAGAATTTTGTTAACTGGAAACGCGATGTGTTCAGCAAAATATATAAATTCAGGTGTTTGAGGACATAAAATTCTAGTGTATGCATTTGAGCTTTAGTGATATGTGCTGTAATGATGATCAGAACTTTGAATTTTTCTTTTTGCTTTAGGGGCATAAGGAAATGGTGGCAGGCACTTCCTCCTAACAAGAAGGAACTATTTAAACAAAGTATAAGGAAGAATAAATGGAAGCTATTCCTTGGTTTGAGTAGTTTTGGATTGCTCTTTGTGGTGTTTTATTTTACTCACCTGGAAGTAAGTCCAGTCACAGGAAGGAGCAAGCTACTATTATTGGGGAAAGAGCAGTTCAGACTTTTATCAGAACTGGAATATGAAGCAGTAAGTAGTAAGAATTGTTTTTAATTAGACTGCTTAGTATAACACTCAAAGTAGGAAAGTATCTTAAATATGAAAGATACGGTGTTTTTAAATTTTAGTCTTTGATATGAAATTAGCATTTTTTTTTTTCCAGAAGGCCTCAGACCTTTCACACTTAGTATTCCTACTGCCTACATTGCTTTTCCTAGCATTCACCCAGCCAACTCCTGCTCAGCACATTTCTCCTTAAATGCCACTTTTCTCCAGAAAGCCTTCCGTGATAACCAGACTGGGTTACGCAGGTGACTAGATGAGGCCCGAGGAGGTATCCCTCATACCGACTGAATTATGAACCAGCTCATTTGTAGTTGTGCCCATTGCTTGGCTTTACTGGGGTTAGGTCTCCTAGACTTTTTCTCTCTGCATACTGTACTTTTCCTTCAAAGCACTCGTGAGAGTAACAATTATTTGCATAATTATTTATTCGATAGTCCATGTCCCTTGTTAGACTAAGCTTTATGGGGGCAGGGATTATGCCTGTTTTTGTTTATGGTTTTATTTTAAATACTAACACAGTGTGTAAGAGTAGTGCTTAGTATATATCTATTGGATAAATAGATTTATTGTCAGAATTTTTATACTTTGAAAATCAAGTAATATAAGATCATTTTTCTCCAAACATCAGTTTTAACAATTTATTATGTTTTTTGAATCCAAACTGAGGTTGTAATTTAGAAGTCTTACCTTTTTGGAAAGTGTAATAACTCAGGTAGTTAAACATTTTATACCCTAGTGATTTTCTTCGCGACAGAGGTCATCATTTTCTCTCCAGTTCATAACACATATACATGTTATGTGCCCTGTGGCTCAATTAATATTTGTTGAATTCATGTCCAGTGGCCTCACTCGACAGCTTTGGCATGGCTAAATCTTTTTTGTTTCTTTTTTTTGAGACAGAGACACTCTGTCGCCCAGACTGGACTGCAGTGGCGCAGTCTCGGCTCACTGCAACCTCCACCTTCCAGGTTCAAGTTATTCTCCGGCCTCAGCCTCCGGAGTAGCTGGGACTATAGACGTGCGCCACCATGCCTGGCTAATTTTTTTTGTATTTTTAGTAGAGACGGGGTTTCACCGTGTTGGCCAGGGTGGTCTCGAGCTCCTGACCTCAGGTGATCCACCTGTCTCGGCCTCCCACAATGCTGAGTTTACAGGTGTGAGCCACTGTACCTGGCATGGTTAAATCTTTTTATTCCAAATGAACTTCTGAGTTTGTCAATGGAAAGTTACCATGAAAAAAAGAAATAATGTTTTCTTAGTTATAAAAATTTTTCTTAGTCCAGGCAAGACCAGTCTCTTTTAGTAGAGTGTATAGAGATTTGAGATGTTTCTTAGGCTTTAGTCAGAGGCAGGTTTAAGGAAAGTGTTCTGGAAAGATTGAGACAGGCCTAGTATTAGTGCATCTTTTACCATTCACATTGCTAAGAAATGTTTTAAAATTTATGTATATCTGTGTACATGTATATACATATAGACATAGATGCATTTTTCTTTTTATCTTATTTTAGCTACAAATGTAATATCTGTGTGATAGGAAAATTTAAACACATGTTCTTATAGGGATATTATAAAGTGCTATAATTACATTTATTCTTGTTTTATCTACTTCAGAAGAGTTAATAAATAGTGGGGGTTTTTGTCTGTTTTAGGCAGTTCACATTGGTGAATTATGCTTTTTAGAAGTATTTAAAATAAAAACTACTTGTAAGTTCATATTCTATAAAATAATGTCTTTGTAATGCATCTCAAGGAGAAAAGTTACTAACTTGTTGATTCTTTTTTTGGTGGTGGTGTTTTGAGAGTCTCGCCCTCTGTCACCCAGGCTGGAGTGCATGGAGTACAGTGGGGCTATCTTGGCTCACTACAGCCTCCACCTCACGGGTTCAAGTGATTCTCCTGCCTCAGCCTCCCGAATAGCTGGGACTACAGGGCCTGCCACCACGCCCGGCTAATTTTTGTATTTTTAGTAGAGATGGAGTTTCACCATGTTGGCCAGGATGGTCTCGATATCCTGACCTTGTGATCTGCCCACCTCAGCCTCCCAAAGTGCTGAGGTGGCATGAGCCACCACACCCAGCTACTTTATGAAAGTTAAAGTAATATTTCAGAACATTTTTAATTTTCTCAGTACACTTGAAAGAGCTCTCATGAATATAACTTCAGAAAAAGTATCTTCTATGATGGCTAGTCTTAATCAGCATCATGTAGAGACAGTGATATGCTCATTAGTTCTGAGATTTCAGTAATTTCCTTTCAATCTAAATAAAACACCTGAAAGTTAATGAAATATCTATTTTGGTAGTTTAACTTTCTTATTAAGTATAGGGTGTTTTTCTGTTCAATGCTTTGTGAATGTAATTTTCTTTTGTATTTTACTTAGATGAAATCTTAAGTTCTCTAGGCTTTCTTTCCTTCTTTTCCTTTCTTTTCTTTTCGAGATGGGGTCTCACTCTTTTACCCAGGTTGGAGTTGGAGTGTAGTGGTAAGATCTCAGCTCACTGCAACATCCGCCTCCCAGGCTCAAGCGATCCTCCCACTTCAGCCTCCCATGTAGCTGGGAACACAGGTGCATGCCACCACCCCTGGCTAATTTTTTGTGTTTTGGTAGAGATGAGACTTCACCATGTTGCCCAGGCTGGTCTTGAACTTCTGAGCTCAGGTGATCCTACTGCCTTGGCCTCCCCTAGTTCTGGGATTACAGGTGTGAGCCATCTTGCCTGGCCTAGGCAGTGTTTTCTAAAATGCTTAGGAAAGTAGAAATAATACTTAAGTATTCGTTTGTAGTTTAATCGAAAAGAGTGAAATTTTGATGTCAATCTATTCAATCCATAAAAAAATCTTAGTATTAGAATTTATTCCTTTGCGAGAAACCACATTGTCTTTGCATGAATAATTCAGATTTGAGAAATTTGAGTGCTTAATATATGCAGATTTTTATATAGTTAAAACTTAAAATGTTCAACAATAAATAGTCATATAACTTTCCATGAAGCAGAGTAAGCATTTCGTAGTGCTCTTTTAAAATAAGAAGTAATTTTTAATCTTTCAGCACATGGAAGAATTTAAAAATGATATGCTAACTGAGAAAGATGCCCGATACCTGGCTGTTAAAGAAGTGCTTTGTCATCTAATTGAATGCAATAAAGATATTCCAGGGATTTCTCAGATCAATTGGATTATTCATGTGGTTGATTCCCCAATTAATAATGCCTTTGTACTTCCAGTAAGTAAATGTTCTCAAATGCATTATAGTTGTTAAATTTATTGTCCTTGTTTTTTATGATGTTCTAATTGCTTATATTATTTTCTTTGTGGTGCAGAATGGACAAATGTTTGTTTTCAGTGGATTGTTAAAAAGTGTAACCGATATTGATCAACTTTCTTTCCTTCTGGGCCATGAAATAGCACATGCAGTACTTGGACATGCTGTAAGTACCTAAAATGAATGTTCAGGTTTGGAAAAACTGCTTTGAAGTTAACAAGTTAAATCTTTTAAAGAACTGATTTTCTTTAGCTTTTTTTTAAAATGATGGACTTTTAGTTTTGAGTAATTGCCTTAATCTGCTACCTGAAAAAATGTGATTGGCTAATTTTGAGAATTTTTATGGTCTTTAGTATTTGATACTGAATAAGATTTTGCTTAAATACTATTTTTATCACCTGTCTCTTTTGCTAAAAAGTAATTATTCTTAACCCCTAATTATTTCAAATTAAATTTTAAACTTTCTGTAATTATTAATATACTTGTAATCTAGTCAGAAAATTAATTGTAGGAAAGTGATATTACTATTTAAGTGGGTAAATCATCTTTCTTTTTTATTCATTCTCAGAAGATAGCTTGGAGCATCTTTGAAAATTTCTAAAATGATGTGTCATGTATAATTAATGCAGAGTAATAACGATACCTTGCCATTTTACAGTTTACTGAGCTTTTTAGTATATGTAGCTTCTCATTCATAATTTTAATACCAAATGAGGTATGTATTTATTATTACTATTTTATATAAGAGAAAACTAATGTTTAGAAAAACAGTAACATGACTAACTTGACAAAGTAACCGAATTGGGACTTTAACCTGGGTCTTCTGTATGTTAATCCAGTGTTTCTTCCTTTCACCATGGTTACCTGGTTTTTAGCAGCACTTTTCTTATAGGTCATAGAATTAAAGTTGATGTATGCTCCTGTGAATACCTGTCTGTTCATCTTGATATGAGTCCAGGAAAATAACACATCTATTTCACAGATTTTTTAAAATTGTTATTCATTTAAAAATATGAATGGCTCTTTTGTCTACATTAGAGATAAGTATTTTTTTAATTGTAAACACAAAGGTACATAGTGAAGTGACTGAAATGCTAAATCAGAAATACAAGTAACATTAACTTCAAATGGAAATGATAATGACTCTAATCCTTCTAAGAGTCATCTCAAATTCTACCTATTCCTTAGAGTATTAATAAAATAAGATGGGCAAAGTGTTTTTCTGAAGCACCAAAAGTAATTATCTCCTTGATTTCTTCTGAGTTACAGGAAGATTTTAAAAACATTTTTCTTGACGGGTGCAGTGGCTTACACCTGTAATCCCAGCACTTTGGGAGGCTGAGGCAGGAGGATTGCTTGAGCCCAGGAGTTTGAGACCGGCCTGGGCAACATAGACTCTGTCTGTACAGAAAAATTAAAAAAATTAGCTGAGCATGGTGGCTCACACCTGTAGTTCCAGCTGCTCTGGAGCCTGAGGCAGGAGGATTGCTTGAGCCTGGGAGATCAAGGCTAGAGTGAGTCATGATCACACCACTGCACTCCAGCGTGGGTGGCAGAGTGAGACACTGTCTCAAAGAAAAAATCTTTTTTTCTTAAATATATACAAGAGTACATCTAAGCAGTGTTACTATATGCACTCTAATTTCAAGTAATGGCTTCATAACTTGAAATCATAAAATCAATTTTGGCCATTTTAGCATTTGAAAGGTGTTACTATTCAGTACATTTGTTTTTCAGGCGTATAGTTCAGTGCCTCATATTCAGTGTATTGTCATCTCTATCAGTGCAAGAACAGTAGTAGGTGAGATGTAAAAAGCAAACAGCAGCCTTAAAAATAGAGCATAGTTATTAGTATGTTTTTGCAGATATCTTAAATATTGTCAGCACAATATTTTCTCTTTGGGGAGTCTCAATTTTGATTTTATCTAGGTTTTTATGTTTTCTTTATTCTACAAATACAGACGTTTGTGTATGTATTTCCAGTTTTCTAAGACTGTATAATAGCAATTATATTCTTTAATAACAAGGGCTTTCTCTTCTGTAACGACTTCCTTATTTTGAGTTTCACGTTTTCATGTTAAAATAATTCCATACTTGGGCTGGATGTGGTGGCTCATGCCTGTAATCCCAGCACTTTGGGAGGCCGAGGTGGACTGATCACGAGGTCAGGAGTTCAAGACCAGCCTGGTCAACATGGTGAAACTCCATCTCTACTAAAAATACAAAAAATAGCTGAGCGTGGTGGCGGGCCCCTGTAATCCCAGCGACTCGGGAGACTGAGGCAGGAGAATCATTTGAACCCAGAGGCGGAGGTTGCAATGAGCCGAGACCTCGCCACTGCACTCCAGCTTGGGCGACAGGGCAAGACTCTGTCTCAAAAAAAAAAAAAAAATCCGTAATTGTTTTTCAAAATACACAGTTGTGTTTTGAGGCAAAGTAATGAGGCAAATATAAGGAGGTAAAGTATGTTTTGTGAGGGTACAATATTTGTTAAAGGACAGTATTCTAAGTCATTGGTTTTAGTTTTCAGTCATTTTTCATACATTCAAGTAATGACTGCAATTTTTTCAGTTTCAGCATTACAACATTAACATTTACTAACCAATTTTACTGGCAAACCATGAACAATCTAGTTCATTAAACTTGTATTTAGATATTACTACTCAAAACAACTGTTTTTTGAAAAATCTTTTTTGGTAACTGATAAAAGTAAATACAAAAATTCATAGAACCTGATTCTCTCATGATAAATACTAGACTTACAAATTTACAAACTTGTATAAAGGAGTAATGTTTCATATATTAGGTCTTGAAGACCAGAATATATTTATTTAAAATAAACTTCCAGTCTTTTTCTGAGTTTTTTCTTGTTTTAAGTGCTTCATATGTTAGTGTTTAGTCCTCATCCAAAAATATTAGTAAAATGAAACATTTATTTGATTTTTTAAAATGATGCAAGTGTATTAAAAACTAAAACTGACCAGGTTTGATTTCTGGTCCTTTTAGTAATAGCTGTGCAAATTTGGGCAACTCTTTTAACCTCTGTCTCAGTTTCATTATCTATAAAGGTAGGGATAATTGTACCTATTTCACAAGATTATTATGCTTGTTAATGCAAGAAACTGTAGATTAATATCCTGTAATAATAAGTGGCTCAGTAGATACTAGTTAAATGAATGAATAGGTATATAAGTAGATAAACAAAGGAAGGGAAAAGCAGACCAGGAAAGAAAAAGCAAAAGAAGACAAAGAGAACTCTCAGTCTTAGGTGGAGAAGGTTGGGTAATTGTAACACCTGATGAACTAGAAAATGTAGGCATATACTGTCTCGATGTATGAAATGTAATTTTTATTATTTTGATTATTCTCAGGCAGAAAAGGCTGGCATGGTTCATTTTTTGGATTTCCTAGGTATGATTTTCCTCACAATGATTTGGGCCATTTGTCCTCGAGATAGTTTGGCACTTTTGGGCCAGTGGATACAGTCTAAATTGCAGGAGGTAAGTCTGAGACAATAACTTGAATTGATCATAGCTTGTGGTGAGGATATTTTAATACTACTGTAAAGCAGCAAATCCAGAGATGTTTTTACATTTTACTATCAAATATGGGTACAAATTTTTAGTGTCTTACGTTTTCTCATTTTTAGGGGATATTCTTATATATGAATATTTAAGTTAAGGAATACTACTGAATATCTCAAATGATAGGTATGGATAGGTTAGAAGGGCTTGGCAACTTTTGGCTAATATGATTTTTAAAAATATATTTATTGGTTTTGCAGAGAGAAAACCCAGCCACTGACCCTTCCTTTCATAGTAACTGAATGACTCCCCCATTCCTCAATTTCAGCCGTCCCTTGGTGTACAGGACTTCTCGTGGATTCCAAAATCTGAGTATGCTCCAGTCCTTGATAAAAAATGGCATGGTATTTGCATGTCACTATGCACATCGTCTCGTATACTTTAAATCATCTCTAGATTATGTATAATTCAATGTAAATACTATGTAAATTGTTATTTTACTATATATTTTTAATTTTGTTGTAGTTTTTTTTTTCATAAATATTTTCTATCCAAATTGGTTGAATCCACCAGATGCATGATCCACAGATATAGAGAGCCAACTGTATTTGCATTTTAATGGGGCAGTATTAAAACCTGTGAACTTTAATGGGCACAGAATTGGCTAAAGCTGCTTTACCGCCCTTCCTTCCTTCTCTCTCTGTTAAACTGTCATTGCTTTGAAATTATTGAAAGTCTTACTAGGTGTTTGTTAACTTTTGATTTTAGTGCTTACGTATAATAACCATCTCAAAAATGTATTGAGTGCCTCGTTTTGTTCAAAACACTGTACTACTGAAAGTAGGTCTTGCAATCTTTGTAACTACTTTGTTAACCATGATTATTTTATTTGACATCTTTCTTGGAATATTTCCTCTTGTCTCGGGAGGTTTGGTTATTTAGGAACAATCTGTTATTTGTTTATTTAATGATTTGTGGAGTATCCATCAGAGTGCCAACTGGGTGCTGTTTAAATCGAATGTGCAAAATTCTATGAGACAAATTGTTTTTGAGATTGGATAACTAAGTCTGTTATTCAGTATTACCATATCATTTGGCTTCGTTTATATTGAAGTAAAGGTTCTTAAAGAGAAAACAAAAGAATGGTTATTCCTTAGGTTATAGGATCTCATATTTTGAATTTTGTTTCTGTCACTGACCTGCCAGGAAATTAAAAGAATTAATTTAATTATTTTCTCTATCTATCTGTGGATTGCTTTTTTTGTAATGGAATCAGCAGAGTGGGTCATAAGAAAGGTAACATGTAGCTATTTCTTTCTTTAAATATTTGATAAATTCTGCCACTTCACTGTAATTCTTCAATGAAAATAAAGTAGGAATGATTCTATTTGAATTCTTTTTCCCTAAATCAAGGCCCCTCAATAATTCTGGTGACAAGGAGATGTTTTTCTCTAGAAAGTTGCTCATTGTGATTGGAGAACAGAGAGGAATGTTGATAGTGAAGTCATAAGGGTGTGGGAATTGCTGACGTTCATTTGTTGTGAGGACGGAATGATACATTTAAAGCATGATTTTTCAATCGCAGCACTGCTAATGCTTTGGACTGGATAATTCTTTGTTGTGGGGGAGTTGTCCTGGGCACTGTAGGATGTTTAGTAGCATTTCTCACCCCTATCCCCTAGATGTCAGTAGCTCTCCCTTCTCTCAGTTATGACAGTCATAAATATTTCCAAACATTTGTAAATGTCCCTGGTGGACAAAATCACACTAGGTTTAGAATCATTAATTTAAAATACTTAGCACAATACCTGGCACAAATAAGGACTCAAAAAATATGAGCTATTATTTTTGTTCATTTAATCCCCTCTGCAGCTCTGTGAGCTTGGCACTGTTACTCATTTCGTTTTACGTATGATACTCCTGGGTTTAGTGGGGTTAAACAATTAGCTCAGGGTTAACAGTAAGTTAACAGTATTTGGACTTGAACTTAAGTTTCTGTCTTTTTAAAGCCAACGTTTTAAATCCTTATGCTATCAGTAGACTTGATGGAGGCACATACAGCCTGCTCATGGAGAGTGAAGGCACTATATGATATACATCATCGACCTAAAACTGACTGATTGAAAAGGAAGGAAGTCATTTCTAATGGTCACATACTGTATATCAGATTTATTGTATTATTTCAGGCCATCACAGACATGTGGCTACCTTTGAAAGATTGCCTCCCCAATTAATAGCTCTTTTCTCAAAAGTCCTGCCTATTGATTCATCTCCGACAAAGTTTTAGTACTTACTGAAAATTAGAATTTAACTGGAAAGCATTCACATAAATACAAGTAATTAGGAAAATTAAAGTTACTATATCTACGTGTGTTTTTTATTGAAGTCAGAAGAAAATTTCATTTTCCCAACTAATCAATACTTAGAAAAGAAAAAGGAAATTAAGATAATTTATCAAAGAAAGAACATTCTGCTATATGGTTAATTTTCTTACTGAAATAAATTGTCTAGTAGTGTCATTGGATATTATATACCTACGTTTTCTTGATTTTCTTTTAAAACTCAAGGTCATAATGTTCCTTGGCCATATTAAAAGCCTTCATCAATAAGCTTTCTTAGTGAATCCTGTACTCAGTAGGTGGAGACTATAATTGGAAAAATAGAAGTAAATTCCTCATACTACAGACTGTCAAGAAATTTATAGGCATGACTTCTATTCTTACCATGTTTTTAAAGTATTAATTTCTAATCAGGGAAATAAAGGCTGTGTTTATATTTTAGATCATGGAGTTATTTTAATGTTAGTAGACAGTATAGGAATTTTATCCTAGATACTCCATGAAACTTTAAAAAAAACCTCTCTTTGTTACTCCTTTTGTCATGAAATAAATTGTCTTAATGGAGCTTTTCTGTCCTGTTTCTTCTTAGTATATGTTTGATAGACCATACAGCAGAAAATTGGAGGCTGAAGCTGACGAAATTGGACTACTGCTTGCTGCAAAGGTAAAGTGTTTAGTAGTTGAGAATACATAATGCCCTTCCCAGACTGAAAGATAAATGTGTGTTATTTTAATGAGGCTTGGCATAAGCAGAGAATGAGAGTTGGACTGTATTAGCCCTTTACGCAATTTCTGTTAATCTAGAAATTTGAAGGTTATGGACCTTGAAAGAATGTATAACTGAAGATACTCAATTCCCTTCTATATTTAAAGCTGTATTTTGCCTTAGACAGAATCCATAAGATTAGTAATTATCAGGTTCTATTAAAAGAAAGTCAGTTCTTGATTAGAAATAATTTTTTGCATGTGTAAATTTTTTTATTATAGACATGAAACATATAAATTGAAATTTTAAAACATTTGGGTATGTAATGTGTCATCCCCTCTGGCCTTTTAACATTTGTCGCCTCTGGAAAGCTAATGCTATCTTTATTTTACTCCAGTACTCCAATATTTTACCCCTTGCTTCTCTGATGTAAGGAGGCTTTTTGAGTAAACAGGATGATAGGTAGTTGTTTCCCCCACTTGAAGACAGGTTAATCCTGTTGTAGCTATGATCTTGGCTAAGCAAACTGATTTTCACCATTTAAACAAACAGTAGACCAACAGACATTTAGGTTATTTTTGTTGTAGCAGATGGCTTTTTTTTTTTTGCTAGCCGTAGAGAGCAGCTCTGGACCTTTACTTTTATTTAAGTTGACTTTGTTCCTGTCTACTTAACAGGGCACCTGGAAGCTATTTTCAATCACCTGTGATAACTGAGTGTTATTAGTAGCATTTAAGATTAGAAGTAAAACTGCATGTTAAAAAATGAGTGAAAACAATGCCACTTCATATATTAAAGTCATATTGTATTTGATCCTTTGTTATGTTTCTGGTAGTTGTTAAAACTATAATCATTTTATTTGAACCTCGTAAGTTTTATGGATTTAATTTTGTAAATCAAGGTATTACTCCTTCACAAAAGCAAAATCAGTTCTTTGAATGTTAAATAAATATGGTTAAGTGAATTATCAGACTGCATACACTAATAAGTTCCGAAATAAGGGGGCTACAGATTGGCTGTATCAAGAATTTTCTAATTTTAATGTACTACAGTCTGTCAAATTTTCCCTTTATGTTAAGTGTGTTCTGTGTTCTGGTTAGGAAATCTTTATCTCAGTAAGTTATTCCTGCTTTATTTCTAAGGAACTTTACTATTTTTTAAATATATATTATGCGGAGGAGGGCAACTTTTTTTTTTCCCCCATATGGATAACTAATAGACTCAGCACTGTTTATTGAAAAAATTCATCTTTTTTTCACCAGACTTCTGTGTCTCTTTGTCATAAAGGTGGGTGTATATACGAAGTCTCTTTCTAGACACACTATTCTGTTCTATTGGCCTGTTTATGTTTCAGCCAATACCATATTATCGCTATAACTTTGTAGTAAGTGTTGATACCTGAAGCTTCTGTCCTCCACTGTTTTTCTGCAGAATTGATTTGACTATCCTTGGACCTTTGCATTTCTATATACATTTTAGAAACAGCTTATTATACTATACATACATAGAAAAACACATGGGGTTTTGACTAGAATTACATTGCATTTCTACATTAATTTGGGGACACTTGACTAGTGTCTATAGTATTGATTCTTCACATCTATGAATATGATATATTTTCCCATTTGTTTCGATGTTTAATTTTTCTTGATGTTTTGAAATTTTTTTGTATGTAGGAATTACACATCTTTTGTTAGATTTATTGCTAAGTGTTTGATGTCATGATAAATAGTGTCATTTTTAAAGTAAATTGCTTGTATATAAAAATTGATTTTTATAATTGGCGTTGTACCCAACAACCTTTATTTCTTCCCTTCCAATCTGTATACAGTTGACTCTTGAACAGCATATTTTTGAGCTGTGTAGATCCACTTATACACAGGATTTTTTTCAATAGATATATTGGAAAGTTTTTTGGAAATGTGCAACAATTTGAAAAAACTCAGATGAACCACATAGCCTAGAAATACTGAAAAAAATTAAGAAAAAGATAGGTCACGAATGCATAAAATACATGTAGATATTAGTTTGTGTTATAATTTGCTACCATAAAATACAAATCTTTTATGAAAATTTATCAAAACGTGTGCCTACACAGACCATACATGGTGCTATTTGCAGTTGAGAGAAATGTAAACAAATGTAAAGATGCAGTATTAAATCATAACTGCATAGAATTAACTGTGATACCTATTGTACTACTCTTATAGTTTTGTATTCACTTCCTGTTGCTATTGCAGTGATCTCAAATGTTGTGAATATCTGCTTAAAACACCATTAGACACTAATCATCTCCATATGAGCAGCTTTCTCTCCAGTAAATTGAGTATCTTAATAAATGGTCTCTTGCAGTTCTTGCATGTTTTTCATTGTGTTTCGTACAATACTATAAACACCTTGAATAATACCATGAAACCCGTATGAGTTGCTGCTAGTGATACTGGAAATGTTCCCACGAAGTAAACTCATGATATTACAAGAAAAAGTTGAGTTGCTTGATATATACTGTAGATTGAGGTCTGTAGCTGTGGTTGCCTGCCATTTCAAAATAAATGAATCCAGAATAAGGACCATTGAAAAAAGGAAAAGAAAATTTGTGAAGCCATAGCTGCAACTATACCAGCAAGCATGAAAACCTTGCACTTTTTGCTAATGACTTTTATCTTGTATAGAAGATGCACCCTTTATGTGGGTGCAGGATTGCCATAAGAAAGGCATATCTATAGACTGTAATATGATTCAAGAAAAAGCACAAAGTCATTATATTACAACTTAAAAGGAAGATGAAGGATCTAAAGCTAGAGAACTTAATGACAGCAAAGGATGGTTTGATAGTTTTAGAGATTTGGCTTAAAAATGTCAACATAATAGGAGAAGCAGCTTCTGCTGACCAAGAGGCAGCAGATGCATTCCCAGATGCTTTAAGAAAATCATTGAGGAGAAAGAACAACTGCTGGGACAGGTTTTTAATGCAGGTGAAACTGTGCTATTCTGGAAAAAAGATAATGCCATAAAGGACATTTATTAGTAAGGAAGAGAAGTGAGCATCAAGATTTAAGGCAGAAGGAATATGCTAACTCTACTATTTTGCAGAAATGGAGTTGGATTTCTAAGTACTTTCCTTATCTATAAAGCTGGTAACCCCTGAGCCTCTAAGGAAAAAGATAATACCAACTGCCAGTCTTTTGGTTGTATAGCAAAAAGGCCTGCTACACAATGAGAATGCTTTTTCTGGATTGGTTCCATCCATGCTTTGTTCCTAAAGTTAGGAAGTATCTTGCCAGTAAGGACTGCCAGTTCTTTTTACATTCTCAATTCCTCTGGCCACCTAGAACCCCATGAGTTCAACACTGAAGGCATCCAGGTGGTCTACTTGCCCCCAAACACAGCATTTCTAGTTGAGTCTCAGATCAGAGGGCCATAAGGACCTTTAAGCCTCATTATAGCAGGGTACTTTAGGGAAAGGTTGTTACTGCTATGGAAGAGAACCCCCACAGAACATCATGAAAGTCTGTAAGGAGTACACCACTGAAGAGTCCATCATTGTTATAGAAAAAGCCATCAAGCCTGAAATAGTAAATTATTGATGAAGCAGACTGTCTGGATGTTGTACGTGACCACACAGAGTCAGTCAAGGAAATGATGAAAAGACTGTGGATATGGCAAAAAATCTTTTTTTTTTTTTTTTTTTGTGAAGGGTTTCAAGATATGGATCTTAGAGAAGTTCAAGAGCTAAAAGAAACACCTTATCAGAGGAATTAACAGAGGATGACTTGATGGAAATGAGTGCTTCCAAAATGGTGCCAGGTAGAAAAGACATAGTAGTGCCAGAAAACAAATTGACGTTAGACAATCTAGCAGAAGGATTCTGATTATTCAAGACTACTTTTGACTTATTTTATGATGGAAATTATAAAGTATTTCCATTAAGTTACACTGATTGTGCCTGCCTCTCCTGTCTCCCGTTCTGCCGCTGCCACCTTTGGAACTGCAAGACCAACTCTCCTCTTCCTTTTCAGTCTGTTCAGTGTGAAGACAAGGATGGAGACATTTACGATGATCCACTTCCACTTAATGAATAGTAAACATATTTTCTCTTCCTTATGGTTTTCTTAATAACATTTTCCTTTCTCTAGCTTACTTTATTGTAAGAATACAGTATATAATACATACAACATACAAAACACGTTAATTTACTGTGTTACTGGCAAGGTCAACAGTAGGCTATTAGTAGTTAGATTTTGGGGGAGTCAAATGTTATATGTGGATTTTTGAGTGCACAGAGGGGTCAGTGCCCTTAACCTCCGTGGTGTTCAAGGGTCAAATGTACTTTTTAATTTTTGCTTTATTGCAATAGCCAAAAACTTTAGTACAAAGTTGGTGATGGGCAACTTTGTATTTTCCTGATCTTAGGGGCAAGAAAGCATTCAGTATTTCACCATTATGATATTTGTAGTAAGCTTTTTATCAAATGAAAGAGTTTCTCTTCCATTTCTAATATCCTAAGATTTAAAAAAATTATGTATGTATATTAAATTTTATCAAATGCATTTTCTGCATTTTTTCCTTCGACTTTTAAGTTCCGGGGTACATGTGCAGATGTGCAGGTTTGTAGCATTGATAAACATGTATCACAGTGGTTTGCTGCACAGATCAACTCATCACATAGGTGTTAAGCCCAGGATCCATTAGCTGTTCTTCCTGATGCTCTTCCTCCCCTTGCATTTTCTGCCTGTATTGAGATGATTATATGATTTTTCTCCTTTAATCTGTTAATGTGGCAAATTACATTAATTTTTTAAAAAGTTAAGCTGCATTTTTGGGGAGATAAACCCCATTTTGTCAATTATCCCATAATATATTGCTAGAATTGGTTTAATGCTTAGTTTAGAATGTTTATCTCTATCTTCAAAGGAGATAGTCGCCTAGAATTTTCTTTTCTTGTAATGTCCTATCAG